ATCAATGAACATAAGTGGAAATATAATTATGCTTTTACAGGTTTGATTAACTAAGAGGTGGAAATCAGTACCGTTTTTTGAGCTTCATTATGAATTCGTTTACGAAAGAATTGACCTCCGGCATGATTCCTGAAACAAAAAATCACCTGAACAAGCGATTTTTTTAGGTTATGAAATTGGGGAATTTGTTGCGTTTGACGAATCTGATTTTATGGGCTTTCCGCTTTGTGTGTCGAGCCCGAAACCATTGAAATGAATTTTTTGGTAAAAAAAAAAAAAAAATTAAATAATCTCATTAAAATTATAATTTATTTTTCTCAACCTTATTATCAATCACATTTTTCAATAAAATAATATTCCATGTTAATTCCAAAAAAAAAAAATTCTTTTTTTAACTACACATTTAAAAAATAAAAATAAAAAAACTATTTCACCCATTAAAATTTCAAATAATAGGGGCCAAACGGGGTCTAAAATGTAAAAATAAATTTGAATTTATGTGTGTAAAATTTTTTAGGAGATTGCGCAGTTTAAAAAAAAAGAGAGAAAAAAATTGTTCTAATGGCCGTCAAATAAGGGTTGAATTTTTATTTTCTAAAAACACGATGCTCCTATTTGGTATCGTTAAAACATCCGATTAAAATTTAATTCAAAGTCAATTATTAATTTTAATTATGTATTCTAATTTTTATAGAATTCACAACTTTTCAACTACAGATTCATCAACTTTATCAAAATTTGCTATAAAATTGATTTTAATTTTTATCAAACATGGACTATATTTTTTCGATGTTGGATTTTTGTGTGATATTGGATCAAATTATTCTTTTATCACCATTTCAATTTGAGGAAAAAAGGGAGAGTTGAGTCTTTAAAATCCATATAGTATATTTTGAAATAGTAATTTTTTAAGAATGTATGATTAAAATCCATAGTCTACAATTAATTAAAAAAAATAAAAATCTCATACTCATTTTCAACTATACATTTTCACGATAAAATATTTTACACGTAAACTCAAATTACTTCCTACTTTTTAACATCACGTTCTATAAAAATTCATCATTTCAAAACTCATTTTCCTACTTTAATGGTAAACATGCAAGGGCTAAAAAAAACATAAATTTACGTGTAAATTTATTTTATTAAAAAATGCATGATTGAAATGGAAGCCAAGCAGAGGCTTCAAAAAACTGTTTCTACGTTAAATTTGTAAGAGACGTATCATATACGTTGGGTAGAGATTACATAATCCATGACTTAATTGTTCCCAATCGAAGTTTATTGGATCTAATTGCAATTAGGGTGAAAGTTCGATGAATCGATTGCAACTGTAACGAAAGTTCAATGACCTCTGGTTTTAAAAAAAAAATTTTTTTTTTTTTTCTTTTAATGGACATATCAGTGAATTCTAGTAGTTGTCTTAATAAATTCAAGATGAAGTGGTCTGATTCTTTTAATGGATTGATTGCTCCAAATTCAAATTTAGTGACCCGATTATAACTAGGGTGAAAGTTAAGTGACGTCCAACGTGATTAACCTGTCAATAATTACACGCCAAGCCAAATTGTGTGCGCGCGCATTAGGGCTGTAAGCAAAAATCGACAAATTGGAAAATCGAACTGAAACCGCAATTTCGAAACCGACGGTTTGGTGCCACGTGGACCCGTCAAGGAAATGGTTTTGAATTAAACTAAACCGGTCAAAAACGGTTTGGTTTAGATTTGAGAATTTTAATTATGATTTGAAACCAAATCGGACCGGCGAAAAATATATAAAATAAAAAAATAAAACATTGATTTTTTTAAAAAAATTTATCCAAAATTTCAATTTTGTAAAATTGAATAATTTTGTTATTTTGTAGGTATTTTTGTCAATTTCTAATTTCCTATTAATTATTAAGATTTGCTACCCGCCCAAGCCTAATTATATATATAAAAAAAAGGTCCAAATTTGAAAGAAGTAGCACTAAATAGCTTAACCCAAGCCCATATACTCACAAGTCACAACCCTAATCTTCCAATTTCCATTTCTCTCACTCGCAATTAACCGGTCGTAGCCTCGCTCCCCGCGGCACCTCCTGGTTTCCCCCCAAATCGTCAACGCTTTCGAAATCTCAAATCTCCCAGTCGTCGATAGTGTATGTTCGCTGGTATTATTAAACTATTTCAGGTTCTTACATATTTATTTGATTGTGAGTAAGGCTTAAAATTGAAATTTTGTCACTTTTTAGTTGAAATTTGTTTACAAATTTATTAATCGTGAGTAAAGCTTAAAATTGAAATTCGAGCTATCGGGTGCGCAAAAGACATTTGTTTACATATGAGAGAATATATATAATTTCGTGTTAAATTGCAGAAGATGAATGTGGGTATATATAGTGGAATGGGGGAGAAAACATATTTACAGCTTGTCTTTTGGAAGCCATTATTAGATGGATCCGTATCTTAATTTATTTTTATTTTTTCCCAATTTGCTAATTAAAATTTTTTTTGGTGTATGAAGGACAAAATTGATCACGAGTTCTCTGACTTCTTGAGTATGTGAATGTTTCTTCCTTTTTGCTAGTTCTGTGACAAAATTTGATGTTTCTTGAATTCTATGACAATTAATTCGTTTATTCCTTTTGCTAGTTGAAAAGGGACATTATTATTATTTTTGGACCTTATATTTATTTTAGTTGACTTGTATTGTATTTTTATCGTAAAGTATTATCCTAAAACGTCAAAAGGGCGAATAAAAAACTATGCTTTAATTTATTGTGATTTTACTTTTATTTTGTTGGTATTTAAATTTATAGTAAATATATTTAATTTGTTTTAGATTTATTTCTAGTAAGATATAAATATATATTGAATTAATGGCATAAAAGTAGATACTAGACAAGAAAAAAATATTCGCGAAACCGGCGGTTTAAAACCGGATCAAACCGTTAGGTTTATGTTTGAGTTTTTTTCAAACCGGTCAGAACTGTTTGGTTTAGGTCTGAGTTTTTCTCAAACCAGTCGGAACGATTTGGTTTGAAAATTTGTCAAAAACCACAAAAAATGGGCGTTTTCAGACTTTTTATCATAAATCTCCATTTCCCTTTCTTATCGTACTAATCTATTTAACACATTAATCTATCCTCCTTGGAGTTATTTGAGCGATCGAACCTCTTCATAGGTCCAGAAAAATGTATTTTCAGACTTTGCTTATTAGTCCCTCAAGTATTAAATTTTTTTAAAAACAATTTTAATCTCAATTCTAATTTTTGCATTCGGGTCTGGTTTATTATTATTATTTTTTTTTAAGCAAATCACATAGTGTGGGTATTTATATAATAATGATAAAAATAAATAACGATGGAGGCATAGACCTGACGTCCAACAAATGAGCAAGTGCAACAATCTTATCAATGTAATTGGAAGCAATAAATGGACGTGGTAAATTCATTGGACTGAAGTAATTGATAGACTGAATGATACTCATGTAGCCTCATACCCGTCATGGTCCACGTAGAATGGGCCATACAATTGGTCCGATAGACTTTTGAATCGTGGTAGTCCGTGTAATTTGGATAGTTCCCTTATGACACATGGGACTATACTGGATGGTGGCAAGAAGGGAGGTGCATTTGTTCACATCCTAGTTGGAGTAAGTGCTGACTATGTTCTTTGCATCAAACAAATGACCTACTATCAGTTGATGGAGCGTTCTCTTGAACATTCACCGTCCAATCCCTGAGATACACACACCCATATCACTTTAAATGTGTACTCAGACCTTTTTGTTTAGGATGGAGCTAGACTATGAATAGTAAGCTTGAGAGATGTAGACTTAGATTTTCCGCTGACCAAGCTGGAAACCAAGTCCTTGATAGCAAATCTCATGGTGGAACCAACCTTTATGCAATGCTTGTTCTTGAAATGATCTATCAACATTAGTCTGACGACGGACTCATCGGTATCAATATCACCTAACAACCCTTTAGCAAGGGTTTGTAGCCGTGTCCTTGTATAGCTTTGTAAGCTGAACTTGAATCCTATGATAATTGAATACCTTCTGTAGGTGTCTATGTTGCCTCTATAGGAGCTAGAGTAGGTGCTACTAGAACTAAAGCATATTCTGACATAGATGGAATAATATTAGTTATAGGAGTCACTAGAGGTATTGCAACTAAAGCAGTAGGTAGCATAAGAGGAACACGGCAAATTAGTACCTACTACATAGACGGCTCAGCAAAAGCGACCTTACCCTTTTCAGCCCTACTAGTAATAGTCTCGGTAGGTATAATAGGCTATGGGAGAGGGTCAACAATAATTGCGAGGAAGCTAGAGGCATGCCACCTGCACACCAATCAACTAAATGGCCCAAATGTCTACGAAGTGATCAAAAAATCAGCTTCTTCACACAATTGCCTTCCAAAATCACGATACACACCGTGCTCAATTCAAATCCTATTAGGCAAGCTAAGTTCCAAATTCACCTCAATACACACCTTAGCGTCACTAGGTCATCTCAAATTCGAGGTGACCTCATCAATCCTCAAAGGAATCCCTTAAGCAAGGCAAACAAGAAACCATTTACTATACATATAAACCGATAATAAGGGGAAGGAAACCCACGGAGAAGTAATCGGGGTACCGTGCTCAAGACGAAAGTCACATGTCCACTTCAAGACCCTTATATGACATCCATCAATATTCCACGAGGGCTTAAGGAATAGTCTACTATAATCATCCTCGTACATAAGGTTTTGTGCGTTAAATGTAGGATGAGGCTTGGATGAGGGGACCTTCGAGATTATATTTAGAAGAAGGTATGGGTTGGTTCCACTATAGTAAACAACCTAGCAAACTCAACGGATCCACTCACTATGACTCGTAGTACATCAGTGGGTCATCCATCAATGAAGAGAGACAAGAAGAGAGAAATTGGGCAAGAGGTGCAAGGGGTGGTCGACTTCAAGCTATCCGTGAATGGATGGTCGAGCTAGTCTAGTCAGTCAGGTCCGATCAATGTCAGCAAACAATTTGTTTGCTTGCCAACAAGCACAGGCTGGCCAACTGTCAAGCTCGACCAGTGCTTGTCAATGCCTTGAGGCCTGGCCCCTCAAGTTGTACAGCGATGAGGTGCCCAATTTACGGAAGGGCAGTCACAGTCCACACAGAGCACATGCCGACCACCTATCAAGCTTGACCAATGCTTGTACAGTGATGAGGTGGCCAATTTACGGAAGGGCAGTCACAGTTCACATCGAGCAGCATTGACTCTCTAGTCCATGTTTGAATCGATCTTACACATTCAACACATCAGTACTATCACGTCTCCAGTAATAAATATACTCTTGACTAAATTCCATAGGGCCTCCGTGAACACTATTAATGCCATTGACAGTGTTTTCGCCCCACGTTTCTATTTCTTTCTATTTTGCTTCCACACCTGCAAATAATTTACTCTTTTCGCTCATTAGTCAATTTATATTGTTTCCTTTCAATTTCCTGACACCCATAAAATTGGGCCCACTCAACTTTTTTCAGCTTCTTTTGTTTGTATCTTCCCGAGAGCGCCCCCCTCTCTCCTCTCCTCAACGGCTTTAATTTGAATTGGGATTACCCTTTCCCTTTGTTTCTTGATTTCTTAAATTTTTTTATTCATTAATTCTCAATTTGTACTCCCCCCCTTCTGTACCGGACAAAAACAATACCCAAGACTTGTATTTTCTCTATGTTTATTCAGAGATGAATATCTCTCTCTCCCTAAAAATTTTGATTGACTTTGGAATTTAGGCCGAGGGAGACAATCAAAATTTTATTGGGTTTCCGGGTTCGTTTTGCTTATGCCCTTTGGTTGCTCCACGATTGAACCTGGTAATCTATAATATGTATTTGCTTATTTTTTTTGGTTTTTCTTTAGGCTATTTTTTCTTAAATTTCTTGTGTATGTTATTTTTATTACCGGATGCACTGTTCCTATAGTTTGATCTGCGCGATCAACTTGATAATCTAGTGTTATCTCGAAAGTTTAAGACATGTTTCTGCTGAAATGATTGATGAAAATACGAGTATCTAATAACCAAATCTTGGCTAAAAAAAAAATGTTTATATGCTATTTCAGGAATTGTGAACCTTAGATTTAAGACATCTCTGTCCAGAGAGTCGCAAATAGTGTAGATAACTGCTCATTTTGAGTTGATGTTATTTTTCCCTGAGTTGGAGCGGCATAGCCAACCTAATAAACACGGTGAGGATAGCAGAGTGGCAATAGGTCATATTTTATATGGAAGGAAGGGTTACCGTTACCTTTTATTTTATATGGAAAGAAGGAGAAAAGTTTATATGCTGGTGTCTATGAACTCTCTGTCTGGATTGGACTGAATATTATAGCCTGATGCAATAAATCAATTCTCGCCCCCAAATTGCATGTAAAGTGAGATGTTGGAAGATGCTGTCACAGATTTGACTTCTTTTTAGGGGCCGGGCAGGGGGCAGGATTTAGGTTGTCATTGGAATATTTTTGTGCATCCTTAGTGAGTGAGTTCTGGTCAGGGTTTTGGAAAGGGAGGAGTCATACTATAGAATGTTTATATTTTGCAGGTTTTCGAATATTCGAATTTTTGAATTAACCACCATTTATAAGACTTATGTTTGTACTGCATTTTTATATTTACTTCTCAATGAAATGCAACCAGATGGACCATATGATAATATTTAGCAGCTTTAGTTTTGAAACTTTTCAAAAGTTTGAATTTTGAGTTCCCACCACCATTAGCAATTTCAGTTTAAGAATATTTGAAAATTTATGAAATTTTGAGTTTGATACCACCATGCTAGGAGTCTAGGACTATGTTTTGACATCTAGGTTTGACTTTTCATCACTAATAACATATGTAGAATACTTCCGAGAAGAAAGATGAAAGTTTCCTCTGCTGGTCTAATTGTTATTTGGTGCCCGGTTAGCATGAAATGCTTTTATAGTTGAGCAAATATCCATCTCCCATTGTTATATGTCGGTTTTCCTTTCTATTGAAAGTTGCGATGGTATTATTGCTATTTTCCTTCAAAGTTAAGAGAGAGGGTGGAATATATGGCGTCCTGGGAAGGAAGGATTCTAAATGTCTAAAATCTGGGACCTAGTAGCATCAACAGTGATCCCCAGGTACCGATTGCAATACGCGGAATTTTCTTAGACTCGATACATATGAACTAAGCATTATTTCTATTTTCTTTTCTGCTTAATTCTCTTGCAAGATTTTGTTCGTATGAAACAATTTATGAAATTGTTCTTAGTCTCTGAGATATGGGGATGGTTAATTGTCTCTATTTAATACATGTTTCTGATTTCGGTTAATATTGAACCTGTATACAATCATGCATAGGTACTCACTTGCACGTGCTGTCTATGGAAAGTGGGAATTCCTATATTGATGACTTGCGAAGTAAACCAGAGGTCATTGATCCCCCTGAAAATGAAGAGATGAGAGATGTTGGAGAACATGTAAGCGACACTGCTCAAAGTCCCCTAAAACCTAACGTAACCGTATCAAGTGTACGTGAACTACTGGAATGTCCAGTTTGCTTGAATGCTATGTACCCCCCTATTTTTCAGGTACAGCAATACTATCGTGAGTGGCCTTCAATTGGCATATTAATGGCTTCTGATGCCTTTATACCCCATGATTAAAGATGTGATCCATTTATCCTTTGTCTCCCCACACCAAATAGAACTTGCCACTAGATGCTTGTAGCTGTAATACTGATTATTTGAAGATAGAATTTGTGAGAAGTTCAGCATTTTGGCAGGTTCTTTTTTAATTGGGAAAAGCACTTCTAGCCTGCTACATGTTAATTCATTTTTTTAATTTTTTTTTCCAATTGATAGCAATGTGACATTGTATCCTATGCCAAACTTTAGCTATTTATTTATATTTTGTATGATGTCCCTATCCATATTCAAAGCGAATGTATGTGCTATGTGTAAATATATGAGAAACTTTCTCTCATTCGATCTTTTAAATTGTTTTTTGAGGAGAGGTGTTTGCAAAAGGATCCTTTGGAATTAATTGTACTAAAAATCTTAATATGGTACTGGGATAGTATTTCCTTGTTTTATCTATTTGTGTTGGGAATTTCCTTTCCGCAATTTCCCTGTTTCCATTTGTTATTTCATTCTAGTTTGCATCAGAATATTTATAGAGCAAAATTCAATTGTTGGGCTTTGTTTGGTGTGTACTTCTGAAGTGGCTAGATTTAATACCATGTTTTCTCTTTGATGCATTCCTATTTCACTGTAAAATTCAATTGTTTGATGCACATTCCTAGCAATATTTATGATGCACTCCCAGTTAAAGAACGGGAAAAATATTTGTAACATCCTGAGTACGAATGAGCTTCTTTTTTTTTTTTTGTGCATTCTTTGAAATTTTCGTTTTAATTAATTTTTACCATCCTATTTCACATACCGTTGAATTTTTTACATTGCTGTCCATAGTTGATTTTCTCTCTTTTGATTATCCTCTTAACCCTTCTGTTCATTTTTTTGTTGCTCCAGTGTTCCAATGGTCATACGTTATGCTCTTGTTGCAAACCTAGGGTGCACAACCGATGCCCAACTTGCAGGCATGAACTTGGTAATATCAGATGTCTTGCATTGGAGAAGGTAGCTGCATCCCTTGAGCTCCCATGTAAATATCAGAGTTTTGGATGTATGGGCATCTACCCTTACTACAACAAGCTTAAACATGAATCGCAATGCATTTTTAGACCTTATAATTGTCCTTATGCGGGGTCAGAGTGCTCTGTCATTGGCGATGTTCCATATCTCGTGAGCCATTTGAAAGATGATCACAAAGTTGATATGCACAATGGCAGTACATTCAACCATCGGTATGTCAAATCAAATCCCCATGAGGTGGAGAATGCCACATGGATGCTTACGGTAATAAAATTCTCCTTGCGGTTGCAACTTTCATTACTTCCCTAAGCATTTCTCAAGCATTGAGACAATGTTCTGAGATGTTGCTATATAATGTTCAGCTATTGTCATCTAATGTAAGTATTAGAGTTCAGTAGGACAATAGTTTTGATTCGTGAGACTGGTGTTGGAAGATTCTTATTCCCATTATTGTTCGTCCAATTTGAAAAGTGATGGACTGTGTTGGAATGGGTTGTGTGGGAAATCTGCAATCTCTTTTTTCATCTTTCCATTTTCTATGGGGTGGTGGAGGTTCTAAGGATTACTTTCAGAATCTTATGACCTTCGTTTCGCATGTGCTGTAGTTATTAATCTGTCCTGACTGGTCACACAAAACTCCTGGAGAGTGTCCCATTGGTTTGAGCTGATTATAAAATCAGATTTGATATTCATCTTACCAGGAATTGGTGAAACCTCGTGATCTGGCTGGTTTTGGGAAGCCGCAGCTGGATGTGTTAAAAAGAAATTTATTAGCCTGGTCTTAAACCTTAGACTTAGTTGATATTAGAATGATGCTGAAACTACCAGGTTACTTAACTAATGTTTATTGTGAATATTGCGTTTATCTATTGATTGTCAAATCAGCGAGTCCAGCAGTTGATTAGGTGACCGTTGGTTTGGTCCCTAAGCCAGCGCGGGAACTATGTCCTTGTTCCATTTAGTAAAATTCTCATGTTATCTGCTTTGCCTATTGCTGAATTTAAATCCATGTTTTGTGGCATGCTAAATAGTGGCATATGCATGCAGCATTACTATATATAACTTTTGGCAGTAGTTCAGTTCCTTGTTTTTTTGCTTGTCTTTTAGGTATTCAGTTGCTTTGGGCGGTATTTCTGTCTGCATTTCGAAGCATTTCAGTTTGGAATGGCGCCAGTTTACATAGCATTCTTGCGGTTCATGGGCGATGAAAACGAGGCCAAAAACTATGGCTATACCCTTGAGATTGGGGGTAACGGGAGGAAGATGATATGGCAAGGAGTGCCCAGAAGTATAAGGGATAGCCACCGAAAGGTGCGTGACAGTTTTGATGGCCTCATCATTCAACGTAACATGGCTCTCTTTTTCTCTGGTGGAGACCGGAAAGAATTGAAACTCAGAGTTACTGGTCGAATTTGGAAAGAGCAAAGTGTTCATTTGAACAAATGAATATTTTTTTTTAGGAGGCAAACTCTCTTTGCTTGTCTATGCATCAAATATTTGAGTAAGGAGCCCAAATTAGACCTTAGGATATTAATTAGTGATGGTGTCTTATGGTCTGTTCTGTATCTCTGGATCAATAACTTGCAATTGTAGTGGACTGAGAAGCATGAACTATATAAGTTATTCACTAATTATTGTTTGTGTGGGTTCTTTTATAAACTTTTATTGTATATTTGAATATCCAATACATACAAGATTGGACAATGATGTTTCAAGTAGGCAATTTTGCAAAGAAGATTGTCGAACGGAATCTTTTTGGTACAATTCTTGTTATTGTGGGAAAATTAGTTGCATATACCTTTGAGAACAATTAAAATGCGGAAAGTAATAAGACTTTTTGAACGAGCGACAACAGGATGTTCTATAGTAAAATAGATCGCCTTTAATTGATGCGACATCTTTGGACACTCTCATGATACAACGATTAAATTACTAAATCGGTTTTTAGATCCCCAAGTTTTACTTCAAAATAATACCTCAACAAAATAATTTTAGAATCATTTTTTTATTAAAAAAATTGTGTAATTTTTCAAGAGAACGAGGTGTATATATAATCCAAAAAATAACTTTCAATATTAATTCGAAATTAATAAAATAAAACTCTCGAGTTTATCATTCACTCATAAGTTAGAATTTAGTAAAAAAAAAAATTGTGATTTTTATGATTTCACCAAACCATCGCGTAATTTGGTTAAGATTGACCAAATGAAGAAAATAAATCTGAAGATAGTTAAAATAAATAATAAAAAAAATGTGTCACCAAAGAAGCATGTAGTTAGTTAATGGGGACTGAATCATCAAATTCCCACAAAAAATTCGTATCCTTTACCACTCAGCCAACTATCCTAGTTTACTTATTCTTTATTTTTTTTAATAACTCATATATACCTAGTTTACTTATTCTTTATTTTTTTAATAACTCATATATGTGTGTGTGTGTTTAATAAAGTTTGGATAACATGGACCAAATTAAGAAATATAAATTTTTCTTTATAACAATGTGCCTGTTTGGGAAGCATTTTTTACCAAATTATAATGAAAAATATGAACGCTATATGGTGAAGTGGACAGGGGTTGCAGTCTTTGTTGACTGCTTTCTCACAAATCAATTAATTTTTTTGAAGAAAAGGCCATTTTGCCCCTTAATTGTAGCATTCAGTCTATTAAAGCATGGCATTTGGGAGATTTACGCATTGAAAAAGACATCTGCTTGTGAGATTGTTAAATATTGTCGCTGGACTGGCTGCAAATTACTGTTATAACGTTCGAATTTTTTATTAAAGTATGGGAAGAATGGTGTCCAAACAAGCACAATATCTAGCATTGCATACAAATTAGCTTCATCAAGCAAGTGTTTTTTTTCCCCAACATAAAAGTTTAGGGACTGTTCTCTTTGTGTTTCAGATTTGTATTTTGAGTTTTGAATTCATTTTGTATTTTGTGTTTTGAGTGTCTGTTTTGAAATTTCTGAAAATGAGTTCTTTTTGCCATTCTGAAAAACTGTTTTTGAAAATATAAAAATGGAAAACGCGTTTACTTTGAAATTTTGAGATTTTTTAACAATATTTTATTCAAGAAATCTGATTATTCCATAAATTTTAATAGTTTAATGTTAATATAATATTAAATAATATATAAATTTTGAAATTGGTGAATCTTGAAATATTTTTTTTTCCAAATATAAAAAATAACTTAAATTAAATTTGACAAATCCTTTTTTTTTTGTCCTTGTACGTAACTTGTGACAATTTTATCGAGTTCATGTTAGTTCTCACAATTCTTGTCAAATACAATTTTGATCGTCTAAACACGATGACTATCACGAGTGATAATAAATAATATTATTGAAAACGTGTTTAATATGAAATTTTGAGAATATTTTTTTTATAATGCTTTATTCAAAAAACGTGATTATTCAATAAATTTTAATAGTTTAATGTTAATATAGTATTTCAGGTCATTTTCCTTCCTTAATACTTCCTATACTGTATTATTCTCGTACTACTAATATCATTTCTAATGATTCGAAAAATATCTAAAGCTCATTTAATTAACTTCTGCTAAATGAATGGTCTTCTTTGTTCACAGGAACATGTATTAACCGATGAGATTCAATGACTAAATCTAAAGGTATGACCAAAGAACATCATGACCAATTTTCTGAGAAAAAAGAGATGAATTTCTCTATTACAAATGCTCCATGGATATATTACCAGGAAAATCTCATTCATCAAGAGAATATTAAACTCTATAAGAAGGTAATTCTTGTAACATAAGAAGGGAAAAAAGAGATGAACTTCTGCAACCACTATCTCTTGAAAATCCTCCACCATGATTAACCATGGTTCTCTCAACCACTACATGAACCCCCTTGAAGAGCTTGTTACAATATAAAGAGATGGTCCTTCCATACCGAAGACTGCATTGAAGGTAGTCTACACCTTGCTTGTGTGAGTTAGATTTTGCTCTTTGAGGAACAAGCTTTGCCTATGAATGAACAATTTTTAGTCAGACATCACAAGAAGGACAATTGAAAAACAATTGAATATAGCAAAAATTAACAAATGCCAAAATCAACTAATTAACAGTAGAACAATAGCATATATGAACTAATGCCAAAATCAGGTAAACACAATGCAATGGAACCTGAATTTTAACTATTAACAAAGTAATTACAATACAAAATCATCGAGTATATTAGTTTCAAGCACAAAACAACAGACATGGAATGAACAACACACAAACCATGAGTAGAACTCCTAAAGTAGAAATCTTGGAGTACTCTGGTTTAGATAGAAGGAAGAAAAAGAACACATATTATGGAGGAAGAAATCTTGGAGTACTTTGGTTCAGATAGAAGGAAGAAATCTTGGAGTACTTTGGTTCAGTATAAATCTTGGTGTCTAACAGGTGTTCTAGCCACTAAATGTGATAATTGTGGCCTGATGAGATTCATAATGAGAGAAGTTCGATTATGGTTGGATGAGACAAGTACTTGGTGAGTGGCCGTAGTAGCTCCCAACATCTGCAGTGGGACTTACAGTATGCCGGACTTGGGCTTTCAACGATGGTCAGTGGCGTGCTCTTCAGAAAACTCCTTTTGTTTATGATGATGAAGTTTTCAAGGTGCATCTTTAATTAACTGTTATTCCTATACCAATCTTCTGTATAAGATTGCAATTACATAAAAAGGCATGTTTGTATGCTGAATATCAAGAAAGGTATGTGAAAAAAATTGTCAGTACATCCAGCTTACGAAACATGCCAAAAGTCAGCTTTTCTATCCTTTTTGTTAAGGAGACTTAGGAGAGTGGCTATTAAATTTTTTCAAACTCAAAAACTTTCAACCTGGAAAATGGCCTTTTCAACAGAAAGAAAAATTTGAAACAACTTTGCAATAACAATTAACTGATGAATTTAGCCATGACTAATCGCTCAACTATGGGATCTTTATTGTTGTAAATCGTTATTTTCGGGTTTCAGGCCTTGGATTTTGTTATTAGTGAAGCAAAGAAGTACAAGATAAGGTTCATATTATCCCTGGTTGATATGGTGGCAAATCACAGTATGTCAAATGGGGTAAAGCTGTTGGCCTCAATTTGACTTCTGATGATGATTTCTTCTCACATCCAACTCTCCAAAGCTACTACAAAGCCGATGTTAAGGTAAGTTACCTTGAATTAATATGGCTCTTTTGTAATAATAACTCCAAGTTTTGAAATTTAATGCTTTTTGGCTCCTTTAGAAGGTGCTAAACAGAGTCAATACTTTCACAAACATAACCTAGAAGGATGATCCTACTAGTTTTGCTTGGGAACTGATGAATGAGCCACAGTGTGGATCAGATCCCTCCAGCAATAAATTACAGGTTCGGTTTCTCATTAGAGTTAAAAGAAAATTTAAGACATATATCTAACAAATCTTGAAATCCTGAAAATTTAAGACATCTATCTAACAAATCAAATGAAATAATAGCATGATCATCCTCAATGAATTTCTCAGAATTTGATTCCCATCCAAACAATGATATCATATTTTCTTTACAAACAGTAATAAGTTGTTTCCCATCACTAGATATCCCCAAGTCTGAAATTCTAATAGTTTAGTGCAGTTTATATTAAAACTCAGTTGCATTAGAATACAGAGTCCCTTAACTCTCAGAAAAACAAGTGTAAAAGACTCACCCCACTTCACTTCAATTCAGCCATAAGACATTGAGATACCTTAATTTAACAACATAACTTAATCTTGCAGAATGTCATTTATTCAGTAATAGATAGTTTTCTACTCTTGGCTTGAATATTCTGCAGAATGTCATTTAGAAAAGATATAAATTGACAAAACTGGGTAAAATCCAACCAAGCGTAAGGACCCTTTTGAAATCGGAGCGTCATACCTCTCTATTCGACAACATAAGGAATCTACTCCACAATACAGACCAAAAAATGAACACAACTCACAGAAAAATAGGTTGGGCTTACCTGATTTTGAGGCTGCTGGTAAGGGGTAGAGCAACAGGTCGAGCCACAATTTTGACAGGTAGCGGAGGAGCGGCACCAATCTGCGGTACAGGCGTTGGAGGTGGAAAGGCGTTGGGAAATAGAAGGTGGACCGACGTCGTAAAGCTCCTAAAGGAGACTATGGGAGATGTGGGGTAGAAGAAAATGGAAACCAGGAGAGAGAGAGAGAGAGAGAGAGAGAGAGAGGATCAATTGAAATCGGTGTTTCCCGTGTTTTCTGATTTCGCCGTGTTTTGTATTGAAAATGGTGAAAACGTAGTTTTGGTTGTTTTGTGTTTTCAGTAGAATTTTTTTTTTGTTTTCCAAAATTCATTTTCGAAAATGGGAAAGAGAACGAGTTTTCGTCGTTTTAAAAAATCGAAAACAGAAAACGATCCGAAAATACCAAAGAGAACAGGCCCTACTATTGCTATTTCCTATGATCATAAACTAAAATGAACTGCTCATAGGATGGAACTAAATTGAAATCAGGAAAAACTCCTAAAATTATATTTTCAGTATAATGTGTTGATTAGTTTACACAGCGAGACGTCGCATGGTTACCAATGAGACTCTATGTAGCTACCATGTTGATGATGATGTGACACTTGTTGGTGAAATGATTGGTCATCACGTATGCGATTTGTTGACATTTGTAAAATAATGTTATTTAGCATTATTTATGTCAAATCACCAATTTAGATGACACTAACGTGACATTAAATGAGAGATATAATTATATAAATAACTTAATTCTATTTTTCATTGAATCTATCACTTAAAAATACATGCTAAATAGCATTATTGTACAAACGAGGTATGTAAATGATTCGTTGGACAAAACGAGGTGCGTGAGTGTGCGTGGGTGTGCTAAACGCACAGAAAGTAGAGGAGGCGCCAAAAATTAAGGTATTAAATCATCTCCAATAGACTCTTTATTTTTAAAGAGTATATTCTATCATTTGGAAATCATCTATAAATTTAGAGAGTTAAAATTTTGAAATACTCCAACAAACTCTTTATATTTAACTTAATTTTATTACTCCCAAAAAATATTTATTATTTTTGTTTATCTTTTATTTTAACCACCTTTTCTTTAGATTATTTGAAAAATGAAACACTTTGAATGCATTTAATTATAGAAAGTGAATTTGGAGAGTCAAATCCACTCTCTAAATTAAAATGCTAATTTAAAGAGTTTTTGGAAGCATAATTTTAAATATTGACTCTTTAAAATAAAGAGTATCTCATGTTTAAAGAGTCTATTACAGATGCTCTTAATGTATCAACCACATCACATGTACAATAAAAGATGACAATGGAGGATGATCAATACTCACAATAGGGGGTACACTTTTTTTTTTTGAAATTTTTTAATCACGCGAGGCCGGCATGCATGTGAAAGGATGTCAACTTTCATTGTCCTACATTTATGTACAAATAGAATTTTCGTCAATGTATATTTGACTATTTTATTTGGCCCCCCACAAATTATAGAAAAAATAATAATTAATAAATAAATAAATAAGAAAAAACAATAATCATCCCGGAATTGACAGAATACAAATCCAAATATTTTATGAATTCTGATTATTCACGTTCGAATTTTTGTAGCTTTCTTTCCCAAAATAATCACTTGTATATATATATGTATGTAAGTTTTTTATCCAAAGAAATTGAATATATTATTGTCAAGTTTGGCATTGATCAATCCATGCAACCACCTATTTTCAACGTGTTTGCATGTTTTCAATGATTTAAATTTCAATTCATTGTGACCCACCCACCTGCATTGGCCAGAATCCCTTTTTTTGTTTTTTCTAGTTGTTCGTCAATGCTAGTTGAGGATTCTGTTACCTTGTTTCTTAATATCTCGTAAATTTTTTAGCAAATGCATCAATTTCGTTAATTAATTTGATAATCCATAATGTGATTTGAAGATTTAGGGCTGTTTTGTTACCTGGGTCTGAATTTTGGGAGGCTGAAATGTCTACTCAACAAGGAAATGCAGAAATTAACAATGTTTCAGGTGGAGTTCTTGTCATTCTTGTACGAAAAGTTCATTATAATCGTGGTTACGTGGACTTGGGATTCTAATACGAGTGATGTATATAAAGGTTTTGTGAATTTTTATGCTTGTTTATTTATAAATTTTCATACATTGGAGTTGATAGTGGGATGATTGCTAGAGTTTTGGAGGGAAGACAATTGGCCTAATAGGATTTTTTGTGAAGTAAAATCTTTTTGCTTGTTTTTGTTTGAGTAAATCAATGAGATATTGAAGCTAATTCGCTGTCAGTTTTGACGAGTTTTGTCAATTTGTGTGCTGGATACGTAGGGAGAGTTTAGTTCATCTATATGTTTTCTTATGCTTTTCTGTTTTAAAATTTTCCCTTAGAATAGGAAGCAATAATAGAGTGAATCTGTCAGGCTCCAATATGAGATGCCTAAGGACGCTAGTCAATCGTCAATTTCCAGACCATGACCATAAACTATGTAATCTCTCATACCTATTTTCTACAAATTGATGGTGAAATGTATTAGGTTGTAAACATCTTTCCAATTTCTATGTCATTAGATTCATTTGTAATTAGAGATTGTTTGAATTATTAATATCAGTATATTTCTATGTGATTTTTCATTTTTTAATTGCATCTGGATTTTACAAGTAGCCATCATATATTGATGCAACATGGTATTTATAGTGCACAATCTCACTTACTATACCATTTGATTCTTGTATCACGTTGCTACTCCTTTTTAGATACAAGACACAACGTTTTTTGTCGAACTTCTCAATTCTTATAGAACTGAGCTATAAATTTCCGAGACTTGAGTCCCTTGGATCTTTTGAATCAGGTCATAGCCTACACGACCTCTTACAAATGGAAACCTCTTCAAAATGGGGTCAGCTCCAAAAGGAATGGAATAATTCTTCTTCCAGTAAGTGACTTCAGCTGCTTGTTTTGTTGTCCAGTTATTTGAGTTTCTGCCACATTGACCTTGAATATACTCACCTTTTGCTTTGCTTTTTTACCTATGATTGCAAAAGTTCTATGCATACTATCAATTCATCATCGTTGATACATGCTTGATGTTTATATCTTGGTCTGGAAGGACAGACAGAGCTACAATGCTATATAGGTCTGCCTCAACCCACAAATATTACCTTCAAAAATATAAAGAAAATAGAAAGGAAAGAAAGAAAACAAATAAGAGACTACAATGTCAGTCATTAGATCTTATCAACCATAAAAGTTGGAGATATTGTTGTAATAGGTTCTATGACCTTTCATTTGCTAAAGAATCTCAATACCTTGGTGACAAAAGGAAATAGATTGTCATAAAGGAAAATTCACTTTTCAGGTTTGCCACACTAAAGAAAGAGCTAAGTTTGGAAAAAAACATGGATTTAATACTCATCAATCAGAAGGAAAAAGCATGGGAAAAAGACAACATTATTTATAGATGTGGAGAATCTGCTAATGGTCAGTGATATTTGAAGGCTAGTAGAATTTTCAGGGACATCTTCTCCTAGCTTGCAGCATATTGGAGAGACACAAATGTCAATAATCTTCATTGAGGAAAGATAGTATAGAAGAAAATGAATAAATATCTAGTGTGGAGTCGTTCATTGATTGGCCAAGAAAGATCCATTTTGAAAAATAGTAGAATTTCTCAGGGACATTCTTACTTCTCCACTTTCCAAATATGTTCTCCCTAACAGTGAACTTACATCTTTTATCTATGGAAAAGGGAAAGAGAAAAGAAAATAACGACTTTCAAGGATGGATGCTTCTAGGAAGAGTAATCTGAGTTATGAATGCTGACATGGTACACATTTTTGCTTGGTAAAGCTAGATAAAGAAACTGAATTTAGTGTCCCTCAAAACATATGATGAATATTAAACAAAATGAATGGAATAAATATTAACAATCTCTGCATCATTTCCACCAAGGCTTTAATTTTGCCATCCTTTCCAAAATCCTAGTATTATCCAGAACTCTAAGAATATGAGAGAGAAAACCTGTTTAATAGACGTGAATGACTGAGCAAATTTTTGTAATGATAATAGTAGAGCCAATTATTTTTTTTGGGACTTTTATAAGTTGTAGCTGGTGATAGCATACATTTTCCTTCCTTTTCTTCTTTCTATCCCTTGTTAATTTTGCTCCTATGTATGTCTTAATCTATGGTGAAATACAGTTCTTGCAGCACTTCTCTATGATCATAGTAATGATGCTTTTGCTCTTAGAGCTTTCTACAGCATAACTTAAAATTTGACCAACAAACTCATATTTATCAGAAAAGGATAAGAATTCTGAAGGATATCATATTCGTGTCCAAAATAATGCCTCAAAATTGATACTGTACTTTCAACTCAATTCACCTGCAGCTGTTACGGCGAGGACCATTCAAGTGCTCACTTTATGCAATTTTAGAATCTCCTTGGCGAGTGGCCTATTCTTCCAATCGTGAGGTCTGAGATGACTCAGAAAGCACTTAATCATATCAGTTACCATTCCAATTTCAGAAATACACTCCCCATTTTTCTGCGATGATTTTTATTAATAAAGTCATAGTTATCGTATATTCATCATGAGACCAAAGCATCTTGATATTTTCTGTGCTGGTATATTTTTTCTGGAGCATATCCACGAAGAAGTATATTGAAGTGGTAATGTGTAACTTAATGATTTTGATATAACTTATGCTTACCTGTGAATCAGGTCCACAAGGGAGGCTGAAGAGTCTGTTGTCTGAATCCAGTAATAGATTCTGCACAGATTGTGGATCTCGAGATCCAAAATGGGTGTATGTGTCAAGACTTGATCTCTTTATTGGATTCCATGCTTTTTTCATTTTTGTATTATTTACTCACATATATTCTATAAAGAAGACTCAAAAGGTCAGTTATCATTCAGAATAACGTTGTTTGTCAATTTTTTCATTATTCATAGTTTGATTCTAAGACGATAAATTTCTAATGGGAGACGGATCGTGCTCCTGTTGAGGTTTTCATGTGCTTTCTGAACATTATTAGCATTTTTGTGAACATTATTTGAAAATAGTTACCACACTTGAAATGCATAAGAAAATTAATTTGACCATTTAATGACTCC